CATCTCTATTGCGGAACTGCAGAGAATATATATTCTACTATATTAAACAAAAATAAATTCTTACTTTTTTGACTAATGTCTATGTAGTAAAGGAATCTAATTTTTGGTATCTATATTTACATTTGCAAGGATCATTTAATCTTAACTGATTTCCCAATAATAAAATTACTACAATTAAGGATAAATTTGCTTCAGCACTCAGAAGCCAATGATAATTAACAAGAAAGACAAAGTATACATCCACACGAATATAATCTGGAAGAAAATGATTACAACTTGCCTCTTGTTACAACCTATATCTATATGATTTCTTTTCAAACCAGAGTAAACTACATGCTCCTAAGTATGCTACAGTGCTCAAACTCGGACAGCTCTCAAGTTAATGAGGTTGAGCTTGGCAACAACACCTGAATGTATAAAACATACAAACAACTAAATCAAGCTATAGCTGACATGAGGGCTGAGAAATAAAAGGTAATAAATAATATCGGTACCAAGACACCCCAGGCAATTGTCCAAGTTCATCTAGGTAGCCAGTAGGCATATATACCTAAGGGACCGAGAGTAACAAAGGCACCCAGCCACAATAATGGCTACACTGGTGACGCAAATGTCCTGGGCCAAGAGACCCAGCAGGAAGCAAGTCACATGCTGGGCCCACCCCAAAATCCATTCCTGTTTTTTTCGTGCAGGTAAGTCTTGGTCTCAATATGCTTGCACTAAGATAAAGCAAAAGACCCTGCTACAAAAGGCATACCTCTGTCTTTAACGGAATAAAAGGACCAGTTTCTCTGAATACAGTGAAGATCTGAAAACCTAAGGGTCCTTTTCCTGACTAAGTCCAGGTCAGCCACACCCTCCTGTTGAGCCAGCACGTGACTAGGTGTGTAATCTCTCTTGTTCCCCACCCCAGGAGTGCCCAGAGGGAGAGCTGGAGGCCCTGTGCGGAGGAGTCAGTTCGGAAGAGAGACAGTGAACCTACTGAGGGACAGAAGGAGGCTGGGATTACACATCTAAGGGTGAGGGCAGTAGCTGAAGGAAGAGTCGGGAGGCAATGTGTGAGCAGTAACATGATTGCATGGACACCTCTGGGCCGCAGGACACCAAGTCAGGACCGTGTACAGAGCAGCCACACGACAAAACACCCAGCCAAACACCCAGAGTTGCTTTAAGCTTCTTTGGCCATGGAAGGTGTGTCTCCTTTTGCTTAAAAAAGGAAACGAGAACTTCCCCACCTCTAGGTGGCTCCCGTGGCTCCTCTCTGGACTGTCAGGACAGATGGCATGCTGGAACACCACTGGGCATCCTTAGACCTGGCCTGCCTTTTCCCACAGTTGTTTCCCCAACGTCCTTGAACATCTGGCACTGAGCGGCCAACATCATCTGTCTGGCACACAACCACGTGATACTGTGTAAACATATGGCACTGTAAAATTATTTCCATTCTGCAATCCTGCGCTAATAAAAACTAATTTTAATGTTGTAGTCAGAAAAGCGGAATGTACCACAGAGAATCACAAGGACAACGTTAATTAGATGTTATCTCAATATATTTGATGTGGGCTTCCCCTCTGTATGCTATGAATATGTTTTATTACTACTGGTTAATAAAGAAGTTTCAGTGGCCGCATATATTACCATGCATTTCCTAAACACCACAAGTGCATTATTTTTCTTGATATTTGCACTCAGGCTGTTTCAGATCACACAGCTAACACTGTTTGGAACACAGTAGGGCTGGTTTGGCTTTTCTGTCACAAAACATAAACATAACAGCGATAAGGACCATTGAAGCACGTATGTGCTGGGTGTGATGGCATCCGAGTGCTTTAATCCCAGCATTCGGCAGACAGAGGCAGGCAGATCTCTGTGAGTTCGGGGCTAGCCTGGTCTATGTAGGGAGCTGCAGTCCAGCCAGGACCAACCATACAGTGAGCATAAACGAGAAATGGACACTAGACCAGCAGCTATTTACTGTGCACTGCTATGTATACTAGGGACTGGGGAGAGAAGCAGGCACTATTGCTGCTCTCAGGGAAGTGAGGCTAAACAATATTATGAATTGTGGTGAATAAGAAGGATGCCTGACTGTCCTTGTGGAAGAAAATAGGTTGGGTCTAACAGACATAATGATGGTGGCCTTCTCAAAGAGAACCTCCAGCAGAAAGGGTACTGGAGCTGGCACCCAAAGGTGAGAAGTTATTCAAGGCTGGGGAGACGCAGGTGAGGGGCAGGAAAGTCTGCTGGGGACGGGGCATCTTACTCCCAGAATCACGCCTTTCTTGGGAATCCTGAAGGTCTGAAAAAAGCAAGTGACTTTTTTCTTCAGACTATTGGTAAGCAAACAAGCAGGAAGAGGCAATGCAGGCCACTGGACTGAAGGAGGACAAGAGTGGCCTGACCCAAACGTCAACACAGCGGACTAAAAATCAGATGGCTTTGGAGGAGACTTTACAGAAAAGCATCCCAGCACCGTGCGGTCAATCTCTTGGAGGGCAGAAGAGTGCAATGAGCCAGGCAACAAGCTGGGAGGGACAAGTTTAGCAGGTGAGGGCGAGTGTGACGTCTGGATGGCCATAAAGTAATTTCTAGGGACAGAGGAGATGCTGCCATTGCTGACTACGATGTGGCAGGCACATCAGGGGCTCAGCTCACAGCTGACCTGTTAGCAGTGGTGACCCTGGTTGTGAAGACAGACGTGAAAAGGATGTGAATACAGATGACAGAGCTGGAAGGGCAGAGCCCCTCCCTTAATTCCCTGGATGCTGACAAGCCTGGCTAGCTGCTACAAGGCATCTCTCCCAGAAGCAGAACACCAGGTACTATGTCTACATCCGGAATTCGGAAACCTACTCAGGACTGGAACAAAGTCACCTCCGTGGAGAGTGAGTAGTCGGCACATTATTCATGATTCCTAAGCAGCCCACTCCACCTCCACCTAGAAGGAAACCTGCCAAGTTTTGACACGTGCAAGTTATCTGGGGTCTCAACGTTTTATAAACTGACAAAACCATCTGCCAAAATTAACTACAACGAAAAGAACGACATCCTACAGCAAACAACAGTTTTACTCCCAAGTTGCTATATACAACAACAGAAGACCCAAGGAGAAGTAGGAAACCCTGAGGAATTAATCACTTCTCAGAATGCAAGGCATACAGGTCAAGCGCTATACACACCTCTGAACACAAGAGGCTACGAAAAAACAAGCACCAAGGATTCCAATTTTAAAAGTTACAAGCTTAAAAAAAAAATGCAAAGACAAAGATGCAAAGAAAAATGACACCATGATCCTGCAGAATTTTAAATTTGAAGTTTCAAATATTTCTTAAAAAATGCAGCACTGTGGAAACTGTGACCCCTGCAATGACCTGGACACCTCTGTAACTGTGACCCCTGCAATGACCTGGACACCTCTGTAACTGTGACCCCTGCAATGACCTGGACACCTCTGTAACTGTCACCCCTGCAATGACCTGGACACCTCTGTAACTGCTTTTCTGCCCAGGTCACTAACTGAAACCTTTCCTGTGAGCACAATCCTGGCCTGGCTCCCTCTAGGGGCTCTCCACTGTGCCCCCAAGCTCCAGAAGCCCAGAAACAGGGCTTGACCACCTACTAGGATCTCAGTCCATCACGGCCAATTGAGTCTAGTACGGAAAGTACCATCTTGAGCCGCTTAAGGGGGAGGGATGAGTGACGGATTTTTGAAAAGATTTAATCACCTACATTGCAAATTATGCTGTGTTGCATCTGATCCTTCAGTAGAAGAATGATCAAACTGTTCAGTCTTCTTAAATGGAGTATTGGCCATGTGTAATTTTGAGGTTTGTGGGAAGTTCCCCGTGGAAATAAGTAAAATCACAGGAACCATTAATGTGACCACTGAAAGATAAAGCACAAACCACTTCCCAAACTGATAGTGCAGTTGTCCGGAGCCTTGATTCCTGTATTCGCCAGCACCTCCCCCTGCAGTGGACTGACAGACATTCAGGACTGCCTCAAGCAAAGGATGGGTTTTTAAAAAAAAAAAAATAGCACCAGGAAACCTGCTGGTTCTCTGCCTCCATCACGATCCAAACCCCTGGCAGCCACAGATGAAAGACTTCTAAAAGAGAAGAAAAACTACCTTAACCCCAACCACCCCAACACACACCCTAAAACTGAGCAGAAAAGCAGAGGTCGCTATGTATTTTAAATGAGTCCCTGGGACAAAACAGATCTCATGAAAAATTGCTGAGCCCCAATCTAAGTCCGTAAGTGTTCCTGCGTCCCTGCAGTCAGCGGATAGGAGGGGGATTTTTTTTTTTTTTAAACGCAAGGCTTTGATGTGTTGGCAGGGCTGACCTCATGAGCTCAAGTCAGCTTGGAAACGTGCCCCGCATATTTCCTTCTCTACTTCCAAAGATTAGGACCAATACTGACCTGCAGTTCGATGCTGGGAAAGTAGTGGTCGGGCAACCCCGGGCGGCTCGGCGGTGCAGAGACAACGCAACACCCAGGCGGCAAGCAAGCCGGTCTCCGCCGCCCACCGCCCGGCCTCAGAGGCCTCGCACGCCAAGCTCACGACCCATGAAGTTGAGCCTCCCTGCGCCTGGCCCTCTGCAAGTTTCCAGGGTTCAGAACGCAGCGAACTTTGCTAGCCCCCTCTAGGCGGCTCGGTTCCCCGGAGGGGCTGGCCATCCAGGAGGCTGATCAAGGAGGCACGGTGGCCACGGTTCTGACAAAATGCAAAAACCTACCAACGGCCACTTTTCCTTTTCCAGAGGGAAAGCTCTCCCTCCAGGCGAGCATCCGATTTCCATCTGGAGAGGCGGGGAACCGCAAAGGGTCAGCCGTGCATTTCCCTTCCCCTCAAAAGTGGCCTCTAAACTCGTTCGCCAAGGACACCGGGAGAGAGGCGACCCCGGGCGGGCAGCACCAACTTTTGGGCGGCGGAGCGAGGGCGCGGGGGTGACAGCGGGGCCGCGGGGGGCGCGGGCCGGGAAAGTTCTACTTACTGCGCGTCGCAGCCCGTCCCGCTGTCCGGGTGCACGGCCCGCAGCAGAGGCCCGGCCCGGCCCTGGCTGAGCAGCGGCGGCTGAGGCGGCCCCGCGGCGACCCGGCGGCCGAGAGCGAGCGAGCTGCGGGGCCGGGGCTGAGGAGGCCGGGCCGCAGGGCGGCGCGCGAAGGGCTGAGCCGGCGGAGGAGACGCGCAGAGAGGGCGCACGCCGGCCTGGCCCGGGCGGGGAGGGCGGTGCACAGCGGCGCGGAGGAGGAAGGGAGGGCGGGACCGAAGGGCCGCGCCGAGCCCCGCAGAGGGGCGGGATGAGGGCGGCGAGCACGAGCCGGGGAGGCCGCATCTGGGCCGGGAGGCCCGGCGGAGGGTCTGGGGGCGGGACGGAGAACCTGGGGGCGGGGCGGAGGGTCTGGGGGCGGGACGGAGAACCTGGGGGCGGGGCGAAGGGCCTGGGGTCGGGGCCGAGGGCCTGAGGGAGGGGCGGAGGGTCTGGGGGAGGGGCGGAGGGTCTTGGAGGCGGGGCGGAGAGTCTGGGGGAGGAGCAGAGGGCTAAGGAGGCGGGGTCGAGACCCAGGAGGGCTGGCCGAGGGCCGGGAAGGCAGGCCAAAGGCCGATAGCTCCTCCCCTTCTCTGGGGAGGGCTGGGGGCAGAGGAGCCGGATCAACCCCTCACCCGCTGGGGTTGTGGCCGCTGGTCCCCGCCCACAGACACCGTAAGGGAACTGCGCGGCGCCGCGCCGTGGGAGGGCGGAGGCCTGTGGGCTTCGCCTCGGGTGGCTCACTGGCTTCGGGGTCGCCAGCGCTGGACACCCTGCAGCTGCCTGCTCTGCGCCGGTTGACGGGAGAGAAGAAAGAAAAGGCCCGACCTGCCCGAGGGACTGGGCTTTTCCTTGGCTGTGCTTAGGTGTCCACCATAACAGCCCGCGATGGCCTTCGCGAGTGAGGAGAAGTAAAAACGAAGTGAATGAATCGAATGTAACACAGGTGTAGGAAGAGCTGGGCTCCTGGAAAGACTGAGGCAGGAGGACTGTGGCAAGTTCGAGGCCTGGCTAGGCTACGGGCTACGGAGACCCTGTTTGGATTGCTTTTCCTCTGTGATTCCGCATCCATCCTTAGCAACGGGCAGTATCAGCCCCCCAAAGAGTGAATCAGATATTGGAGAAGAAAGAGCCCAGCTTACTGGAGAGAGTAGGGTAGGCATATGGCCAGCTTGGGCTACGAAGACTGTCAGGAAAGAGAAGGAAATCTTGCCTTCTCCGAGGACTAGTTGGAATTGCTTTTCCTCTGAGTGGTTGTGATTCAGCACCCGCACCCCCACGCCCCCAGCAGCAGGCCATGATAGAGGCAACAGACAAGAAAAAAAGAGAAAAACGGCAAATGAATCAGAGGTGAATAACAAGCGTTTGGAAAGAACTGGGCTCGGATTCAAAAGATGCACCCACACGGCTTTAAAAATAGCCTTTAGTCAGCGAAGGGCATCGGAACCCTGGCCTGGAAATGCAGATTTGTATGTTGTTTTCACCATTTTGTGTCAGGCAGTGACTGAAGTGGACAAAATTCAGTCCTTGGGCCTGGCCGATGCTCGCACATTGCCAAAGCGCAGCAGTAGTTACTCGTTTGAAAAGAGATGCGTTTGCGTAGGGTGGTGAGCCGCAAGAGTGCGTTCCAGTTATGAAGTGTTCCCTTTAGTTTCCTGGCACTTGCTTTTAATCATCGATATAAGGATATTAACTATGAAGGCCGGCTTCTCACAGTCTGTGTGACTGCTTTCTTCTTTAAAGGTCCGTTTCCTCGTGTTTTTGACCTATGGTTTTCCTCCGCTCAGTCACCTCTAACACCCATGCAGGACCAGGGAAAAAGAGAATTCCAGCTAAGACTTAAACGGAAGTAGGCAACACTTGAGGAATTTAGTGAGATGCTTCCTCTAGGAGTCAAAGGCACAGTCCAAGGAAGTGGGATTGCGGGGAGTGTGGGACTGGAGTCCTCCTTAACCCCACTGGAATCCTTTCCAGCCTTGACGTGGGCGAGGTTGGCAATCTTCCACTCCACTGAACACTATCAGTCACCTGCCCGAGTGCCAAAGCTTATGGAAAATTTGAGTGCCCAGTGTGTGCCTTTTGCCACATCTGTCAGTCTTGGGTCTTCCCTTTTTACGATGCTCTTCTCTCGTGGAGGTCTGAAAATGAGTGTGTGAAAATGGCCTCGGTTTTGTCTTGAGGCCTGAGATGAACAAGTTAACTTATCCATGACAGCTCTCAAGTGACCAGAATTGAACAGAACTAAATGTACTATGATGAATAACCATGCCCGCCATTTATAGACGCCTTTCATAAGAGCCGGGCACCCAATGAGACACCGTATCCCCAAACTGGAAGACGTTCTTATTGATAGCTGCAAAGCCAGTGAGTTTTCCCCAGTTCTAGATGAACAGAGAGGTCTCTTCCCACCTCAGCCCCATTTAGTTGGTACATTTTGTTCTCCAGTGTAAAATACATCATGTACCTGTTGGACCTCCTGGGATGACCCCAGATGCCTTTGGTAGGATTGATAAACAACTCATACTTCCGGTTTCTTCTTCTGTTCGCGGAACAGCACCCAGCTAGACGAGAACACTTGAAGTCTGTGTCATTCTCAGATTCGCTCGTAGAAAACAGCTTGACAGGAAGGCTTCAGAAGAGAGGCAAATCGGAAGAGCAGCCGATGTGGAGAGCAGCGGGAAGAAGAGAGGAGCTGCGCCAAGACAGGACCAAGCGATGTGGGGACACAGTGGCAGAAGAGACCCACAGTTTGGAGTCTGTGTGACCTCTTAACAGCTGCGGATTGGGAATTCCAGCACAATTCCTGTTGTCTGTGAATGCCCATAGTTATCGTAAAAAAAAAAAATGTTAAAACACCAATAAATGAGGCTGAAGGCTGGGATCTATATGACCTTGGATAGGACTCCCTCTTCTCCCAGATATTTCCTGGGACTCTCATGAGCAAAGCTGTTAACTTTTGTTCATGGTGGAGATAGGCTGTCTCAACTCTCTGCATCCTGACATCAAGCGTGTTGCTAAAGCCCAACCCTGTCAGCTCACCTCAGAAGCCACATTGTGACCTCACTGAAGATGGTCACTCTATATCCTGTTATAAAGGTAATGAATTACATCTTTCCTCTGATACCTCTACTCCCACACTGCCCATGCGTGCCTTACTTTTTTCCTGGATGCCTCTCTGTTAACCGTCCATCTTCATATCTAAAATTTACATTTAAAATATGTTTCAAGCCAGGCAGTGGTGGCGCACACCTTTAATCCCAGCACTCAGGAGACAGAGACAGGTGGATCTCTGTGAGTTCGAGCCCAGCCTGGTCTACAAGAGCTAGTTCCAGGACAAGCACCAAAGCTACAGAGAAACCTTGTCTTGAAAAAAAGATATATGTTTGAATACGAACACCATCTCTGCTTTATATTAGCTTGTCCAGATGTTCTCTTCTGCATCAAAGTCAGGGTTCTGGCTTCACCTGAGCGAAGTCCCCAAGAACAAGAGCCCTGCCTCCACCTCTGTGGACACTTTCCTCTTGCCGCTATAGGAAATTGTCACAAACCTGATGACTTAAAACAGCGATGTTGTATTATCTTACAGTCCTGAGAAACCTAAACACAGGTATGATCCCCATGTTCCTTCTCAAGGTTGGACAGGGAGATGTATACACAAGTCTTTGAGACGCATCTCTCTAGAAATCTGTGACAGATCTTGAATATGTCCACTGGAATCATTTTAACATTTCTCAAACTAGCCCACCAGAGAACACCAACCTGTATGATAGGGTTGTGGGAAGACCATGTCCATGCTTGGTGGCCTAATCACTTTTCTGTTTCTGTGGGAAAATACTCTGACCAAACTTAGGAATGAATGGGCTTAATTTGACTTACACTTCCAGGTCACAGTCTATCACTGAGGGAAGTCAAGGCAGGGACACGACTTTGAACGTAGGAACCATGGAGGAATGCCGTTTGATGGCTCACTTACAGACTGAAGTTTAGCTGGCTTTCTTATACAGCTCAGGACCACCTGCACAGGGAATGGTGCCACCCACAGTGGACTGGGCACCCTTGTCTCAAATAACAATCAGGATGGACATGCCCACAGGCCAATCTGCTCTAGACAATTCCTCAATCAGATAACCCCAGGCTCTGACAAAGCTACCTGAGACATTCAATAAGGGCACACGGTAGGGGACCCCTCTAAAACCGGCAGATGTACTCACATCCCAGATGGAAGGCCAGCGGTCAGAATCCACTAGGGGCAAAGTCCTGGGAAATCCTGCCGTGAGGAAGTCTGGGAGGCCACCCAAGGACTGAAAAGCGTGTGTAATCCTGGCCGGAATCGGTTATGCAGATCTGAACATAACTTTCACTCCACTCTGTATTCCACACAAAGTAAACTTCCAACCCTCCAGCCCCGGAGGATGGTCCATTCACATCCCTGAAATTTTTCGCCTGAAGGCCCCAGTGTCCTCTGCCACCCTCAGCCCAGCCCCTTCCTAAAGCTTTAATCCTGTTTCTCCTTTGTACCTGCCAGTGCCTGACTCGGGCCTGACTCAGACCAGGAACTCGGCGACTAAGGGATGAGTGGAGATGACGTTAGCTGGATATCTAGTGATATCGCCCCCTTACTCCTTTCTTTGTTCTTCAACATGTGAGACACACAGTCTTTCAGTTAATAAATAAATCATGGCACAGGAATTGCAAAACGAACCCTATATGTCAAGCTTCTGTAAGCTCATAGTCCACCTAGAGAAACATGCTTTTAAAGGGGGATTCAGACTGGGCAGCGGTGGCACACACCTTTAATCCCAGCACTCGGGAGGCAAAGGCAAGCAGATCTCTGTGAGTTTAGGCTAGCCTGGTCTACAGAGCTAGTATCAGGACAGGCTCCAAAGCTACAGAGAAATCCTGTCTCAAAAAAAGTGGGGGGAGGGAATTGAGGAGCTGAAAAGATGACTCTGTAGTTAAGAGAGTGTATTGCACTTGTAGAGAACCCAAATTCCAAATTCTGTCCCCAGCACCAATATTGGTGGCTCACAAGCTTCTGTAACTACAGATCCAGGAGATGATCTACCCTCTTCTGGTTTCCATAGGCACTGCACCCATGGGGACACACACATATATAGGCTCACATATATACACATAATTTCAAATAAAATCTTTTTAAGAAATTTAAAGG